GTTTGTGGCATTATGATAATCAAATTGAGGAGATATTACTGCTACATAACTGTAAAATGATATCCGTACGCTATCCGTAAATGTACTACCCAGAACCGAACACAAGACATATTCTTAGTCAAAAATCTATAAATGTTTTCAATGAATAATAAACCCCTTATTACATAGCTGGGAACTAGTGCTCAGATCCCAGCACAAACAACCGAACGCCGTTCATTTTACATGGTCAGGACCACTCGGCTTAAAACAGTTGTACTGACTGAGGGAATGAGATTCCCGAAAGAATAAAACTCCCGAATGGCTTGTAAGTCCAGCGGGGCTTGTGTTTCCGAGTAGCCGATTTTAGTTACAGGCACTCAACGACAAAACCCCGCTGGTTCTCCAAGAACAAAGATGGCCGCCGCCACGTGTTCGGTACACGAACATACATTAATTGGACACAGATACAATGTTGCAAAGTACCTAATTCTAGACACACGACCTGCTGGGGGTGGTCTTCCATTCGGTACTTTGCTAGTTCCACGAACAGTGCAGAGATTCCCTGTTCGTGGATAGCCAAGCTGAATGCTAGCGGTATTCGTGTGCTGTAACACACAAATGCTTCATACATGGATCTTTTAGTCGGGGAAACAGACGATACATGCAATAGCAGAAAATATATAATTACATTCAGTAAGTGGCTAGTTTCAAGTTCAGTTTGTCTGGATAACCCGTCGGCGTTGCCATTTTGCTTCCCAGGGCGGGTGTGGATGGTAAAGTCAAAAGGCTGCAGCGCCAGTGCAGTAGCCTGGCATTGTCTCCTGACACCCTGTACAGCCACACCAACGGGTTGTGATCTGTGAGTAGCAAGAATGGTTGTCCATACAAATATGGCTGCAGCTTTTTAAGGGCTCACACCACGGCCAGGCATTACTTTTCGATGGCGGTGTAGCTTACTTCCCGGGGGAAAAGTTTTTTTCTGCTTAAGTAAGCTACCGGATGTTTGCCACCATCTGCTTTGACTTGGCTCAGTACTGCTCCCAATACAAGCATAGAAGCATCTGTGTGGACGAGAAAGTGTTTAGTTGGATCAGGAGCGGCAAGTACTGGTGCATTAATTAGCGCAGCTTTTAGTCGCTGGAATGCCAGTTCACACTCTGGGGCCCATACTACTAACTTAGGGAGATTCTTGTGGGTTAAATCGGTGAGGGGATTGGCCAGGGTGCTGTAATCGGGTACAAATTTTCGATAGTATCCCGAGGTACCTAAGAAGGCCAGGACCTGGGTTTTGGTATGGGGGTAGGCCATTTAGCTATGGCCTCTATCTTGGCGGGTTCTTGCTTTTGCTCGCCGCTTCCTACCCGGTGCCCTATATCGTCTAAATAGGCGCAAGCGTACTCATGGAACCCATCCAATAACCGATCTACCATCCTCTGGAAGGTAGCCGGAGCGTTTTTCATCCCGAATGGCATGACCTTAAACTGGTACAGGCCAAACGGGGTGACAAACGCCGACTTTGGAATGGCGTCTTCAGCTAGGGGAATTTGCCAGTAACCCTTACAAAGGTCTATTGTGGTGAGGTACTGGCACCTGGCCATTTTGTCTAGGAGCTCGTCTATTCGGGGCATAGGGTATGCGTCAGATACATTCTTATCGTTAAGCCTCCGGTAATCTACACAGAAGCGGGTATTTCCATCCCGCTTCGGTACCAGAACTACTGGGGATGCCCAGGGGCTATCTGAATGTTCTATCACCCCCAACTGTAACATTTCTTCAATCTCCATCCGCATATTCTCTTTTACTGATTCAGGTATGCGGTAAGGAGATTGGCGGAGTGGTGTCTGCCCTGGGGTCTCTACTCGGTGGGTGGCTAACTAGCTGTACACCGGGAAATTAGAAAAGGTGGCCCCCTTTAATAAGACTTGATCTCTACCAGTAATAGCTAGTCAGTAGTGATGTGCTGAAACACACGAGCAGGTTGGCCTGAAGAATTAGGGCAAAAATTACCAATACTGCCTAATCTCAGAATAAAATTGTAGCGGAGTAGTTAAGTTAAATCACGATATCTCTGCTGGTAGTCAGGATACAGCATGTGAAATACAGGTAGCATAGTAATAATCTTTTTCCCAAGAACTAGACGACACATAGCTTGGGAGTCAACTGAGCCTTTATTGCATTGTCACCATATTTATAAAAGTCCACATGCAAGGGGTTTCCAAACTGACATTGCATGGGTTTTTCTCAGGTGGACTTTGTGGGAAACTGACCCTGCATGACTATTTCCCATCATGCCCTGCTGTACTGGAGAGATAATCACCCAAGAATATACTGTTAATTGGATTATCTCTCAGTACAGCCAAATACAGTTTCACACAAAAATGCATAACTCGTATAATTTTACTTGGATTTATCCGAATGACCCCTCACTGAATAGCTGGGATCTGAGCACACCATCTGGTGAAATACCACTCAGATCCATTCACTAGAAAGGGAGAGCCATTCGAATGATGGTTTCATACGAACTTACATTGCAATGTGACAATAGACGATGTACGTTAATTTACCGAATTATCTGAAAGGCATGAAAGTCCAGCAGTGTTGGTGAAGTCGAGTAGCCGATTTTCGTTCAAGGCACTCAATGACCAAACACTGCTGGGCTTTCGTGAACAAAGATGGCCGCCGCCACGTGTTCAGTTATACGAACAGCGGCCACAATAAAACCCATTAACACTGCTGCTAGTTCGTTAATTGGAGACACACGACCCTCTTTTTGTGGTCTCCTGTTCAGCGGTTCATTCGTTTCACGAACGGAGTAAGGGAATATTGGTCGTGAGATTTAGCATACGAATGCTATAGTCTTTCAATGTAAAAATACCACACAAATACAGTCTGAAGTTGCTAGGTTTGCCACAAAAATAATTAGCAAAGTCCATCCCCTGTTATTAGGCCGGACGTGTACCTTAATTAATTCAGCAGAAATCTTCCCAGGTTGCTATGAAGGTAAGCATGAAGGATTAATAATTAGTGATGTACCGAACGGTTCGCTGGCGAACGGTTCCTGGCGAACATAGCATGTTCGCGTTCGCCACGGCGGGCGAACATATGCGCGGTTCGACCCGCCCCCTATTCGTCATCATTGAGTAAACTTTGACCTTGTACCTCACAGTCAGCAGACACATTCCAGCCAATTAGCAGCACACCCTCCCTAGCAGACCCTCCCACCTCCTGGACAGCATCCATTTTAGATTCATTCTCAAGCTGCATGCTTAGTAAGAGGAGGGAAAGTGTAGCTGCTGTTCATAAGATAGGGAAAAGCATAGCTAGGTTAGGGATAAGGGTATGCTTTTTTTTTATTTTATTTTTCTATGTAATGTAAATGCATTTAGTTGTCTGCCACTGCTGCCAGCTTCTGTGTCAGGCTCACAGTGCATACTGTGCCCATTTCCCCAGTCAGTGCCACCAATTACATCTGGTGTCACAATAGCTTGGATTTAAAAACAAAAAACTTTTTCACTGTTATAGATTGAATAGCAGTCAGTGTCCTTAAAGCGGGTGTGTTACGCTAACAGTGGATACGCTGACAAGTGCCACTAATTAGATCTGGTGTCACAATAGCTTGGATTTAAAAACAAAAAACTTTTTTTACTGTTATAGATTGAATAGCAGTCAGTGTCCTAAAGCGGGTGTGTTACGCTAAAAGTGGATACGCTGACAAGTGCCACTAATTAGATCTGGTGTCACAATAGCTTGGATTTAAAAACAAAAAACTTTTTTTACTGTTATAGATTGAATAGCAGTCAGTGTCCTTAAAGCGGGTGTGTTACGCTAACAGTGGATACGGTGACCAGTGCCACCACTTAGATCTGGTGTCACAATAGCTTGGATTTAAAAAAACAAAACACTTTTCACTGTTATAGATTGAATAGCAGTCAGTGTCCTTAAAGCGGGTGTGTTACGCCAACAGTGGATACGCTGACCAGTGCCACTAATTAGATCTGGTGTCACAATAGCTTGGATTTAAAAAAAAAATAATCTTTTTTCACTGTTATAGATTGAATAGCAGTCAGTGTCCTTAAAGCCGGTGTGTTACGCTAACAGTGGATACGGTGACCAGTGCCACCACTTATATCTGGTGTCACAATAGCTTGGATTTAAAAAAAAAAAAACACTTTTTCACTGTTATAGATTGAATAGCAGTCAGTGTCCTTAAAGCGGGTGTGTTACGCTAACAGTGGATACGCTGACAAGTGCCACTAATTAAATCTGGTGTCACAATTGCTTGGATTTAAAAAAACAAAAAACTTTTTTCACTGTTATAGATTGAATAGCAGTCAGTGTCCTTAAAGCGGGTGTGTTACGCTAACAGTGAATACGCTGACCAGTGCCACTAATTAGATCTGGTGTCACAATAGCTTGGATTTAAAAAAACAAAACTCTTTTTTCACTGTTATAGATTGAATAGCAGT